GGAAACGGATCCACATAATGAAATATTAGAACAGTGGCCCGGTTACCGGAATCCGAGGGACGTCCCTCGCTCGGCAGGGCGATCCCCGGGCAGCCCACGCCACGGGGCGTGCGGCACACTGGGAGTCGTTTTCGTCGCTCTGTCTCTCTCGCACCGACGCGGGACGCCGCGAGAGTGCGAGGGAGACGGAGCGACGGAAACGACTCTCAGTGTGCTGGGCGTGACAGCGGGCCGATATTGAGCCAGGGGATAACACGCTGCCGGTGCGAAGCATGCGAACGGTAGCGGCGCCGGATAACTGTTGAGTATCGGACTGCAGGATGACACAGTGGCGTCGCCGTGCAGACCACTCGCGTGTTGCACTTGCTCCTGCACTGCCGGCACAAAGTTTACCAGTGTACCAAGTTATCAGGAAAGATAGTAGAATATATTATACACCATTCAGGATCTTGCCATTTGTTTTGAAAAATAGCAGGTGGCACAGGTCTTTTTCTGCTATGGCCAAAACAGGAATTGCAGGCAAAATGTAGTCACAAGGTTGAATTTGGTTAGGTTTCAAAACATCACAAAAAGGCACAGCAGTTGTTTTATTAATCTTATTCTAAACGAAATCGATGGAAGTCTCTAAACGATGTGACGTATAAATCAAGCGAAAGTGGCATAGACTTCGAAAGTAGTGAGCCAAAGAATAGAAATCAAAGGAACGTGACACGACTGTCGTTTAACCGAACGTGACGTCACATGCCTGGATGTGCGCTGCCTGCAGTCAGTGTCCCAGCTTGACGTTCCTCGAGCCGGATTTGCAGTGTGCCATCTGCCCTGCCGATCGTACAGTATTGCAAACCCTTCCGTCGCGACGGCCCGACGGCTCGGGCGGATAAGGTGCCGGCCGCGTCCGCGCGTCCTTGTCGCGCCTCGCGGCATCTCTGTCGCACCTGCGGGGAGGGGCCGCGGTGGCGTCGCAGTCGCGCGGCCCGCTGGAACAGCGAGAACACATTAACACGGTAATGGGCCGCCTTGCCCCGCCCCGCCCCGCCCCGCCCCGCCCCGCCCCGCCCCGTGCCGGACTTTGGAAGGTGTCCGCGGCGGGGGACGGGCGAGCGCAGCATTCCTTGCATATCTAAAGTAATGGGGTGACAGATGTGTACCACGCGGATTGGATAGAGGAGCTTCAAGCTTCCCAGCGAGGACGGTAGGACGGTAGCTGGACGCTGGTGATAAAGGCAGGGACCTGCGAAAGCGAAATGATATGTTTGAGAATCGCTTGAAAAAGAACGTGAAGAATTTGATAATACCACTCAGGATCATGACATTAAAAATTTGAGAATATTGTTTTTGGAAACTCTTTTTGGCAACTTCTTTCAATAATGTGAAATGTTTTTAAAAGAACAAGGTGTATTTGCTTTCCCTAAGCAATGCTGTGAGGATTTTTTTTTGACACGTAACTAAAGGCGTTAAGAATTTTTTTAAAGGCAGCAGTGGTAGGGTACAAATTGGATTTTTTTGACACGCTGTTGAATTTTAAATTCAGAATTTTCTGTTTCGACGCCATTGGTAAGATACAATTTAGAAGACTCGTGGTAGTGTGTACGTCGTCTGCTTCTTTTCACTGCAGTCAGTGACTAAAATTGTTCACCTGGATTGTGTCAGCGACGTCATAGTGAACACACACTAACACATACATACAGTGAGCGTGTTAGTCGCCCACGCACTGCTAATTGCGGTTGACAATGTTAACAATGCCTGCAACTCACTCACTCTGCAACTTTCACCCCATATGGTGTACGCTTGTTTCATTAGCCACTTTGCACCGAAGTAGGGGCACCTAAAAAAGGCAAAATAAAATGTTAACAAGGGCGGTGGAAAGGCCGCGCTGCGAGCGGCGAGAAGCTGAATCAGAGCATGTTCAGTTTATCGGAGCAAGTCTCGCGGAGATGCGCCGCGCCCCCTCCACCGTCGGAACGTTTCCTAATAGCTGTCGATTCCCGGTAATAGTGCTGGTCTCGATTCGGCGAAGCGAATTGATACACAGGTGAGGAAAGGGAAAGGTTTGTGCTGTGGGTAGGTAAAAGACAGAGGTGTACATTAGTTGTGATCGATTCATGAGCGAGCAGTGAAATGCCGACCGTTCAAATTTTTGAGAGGATTAAAAAGTTTTAACCTTGCTGCAGCAAAGTTTTTATGCAATTAACAGTAAACGCGGATGGCAATGAACAATACATAGCTGTATCGAGCTAGGTTCAAAACTATTTCTATAAGACCTTTATGAGACTTTGCTCAGTGGCAGTACCCTGATTTCTTTGATGGAATCTGGTTAAAAACTGTGTTTTTAAATTTTGAGACTGTTTTTAAGGTATTATTTTTTGGAGGCGACCCGGCGTTGAACCCTAGATCGATGGCGAGCCGAGAAAACGAGACACCCTGTACTCGTTGCGCACTGCCGTGGCACTGTGTGGTGGCGCGGCAGACCGGCCGCTCCCCTGGGACATGGTAATAGTCCGGGCTATGTGTGTAATTAAAAGTATTAAAAGCTGTTATTAAACCGGGGGCCGCGCCGCAGCGCCTATCAGGTGTCACTCCAACGCGCCCTGCTGGGCCCTGCTGGCCCTCGCCCGCGCAAAGCCTGCTCTAAGAAGCGCGCACTCACACTGCCACACACACACGCACACACGGGCACACACACAAGCACACACGAGTGCAAATAGGCATTTGTAAAGCTAATCCGGCCAAAATGTTCATTTATGAATGTATGTGTCGGGCATGCGTGTGCGGCGTTGCGGAGCAAAGTACTGCCCCTGTGGTCCGCCTAAAACGGTTGTTGTTGTTGTTGTTGGGTCAGTCCCGCTGACAGGAGCACCTCCCGGGCGCCCTTCCTCGCCTTGATGCTCCTGCTCTGCTTGGATTGCCAGGGGCAGTCCGTAAAGCTAGTGACTTGCTGTGTGAGGTCAACAGGAGGCACTGTCAGAAAAGTTCCACCTTTTCAGGGCTAAGTATTCTGGAGTTAAGACGCTCACACCAGCAGACTGGTTCCGAGATTCGTTTTCGTCGCTCTGTCTCTCTCTCTTGCACTCATGAGGCGCTCGGTGCGATAGAGACAGAGCGACGAAGACGACTCTTGTAATCAGCCGAACAGTGCCGATGAACCGGAATGAGTTGGAAGGCAGTGTTGTGCCAGCAGCGGCTCAACCTTCTTCGCCTGTGCGCGGCTCGGCCTCGGCGCGGCGGCTTGGCAGGCCACTGACTGCATGTAAACCTGCAGCAGGCCTTATTTTCAATGGTAATGCGAAGATAATGTCGTTTATTGGCAGCCGAATGGACCGGGAATCGGAATCGGAGGAACGGGAGCAGCGCCTCTCTGCTTGGTCCAGCACCGTTCGCTCGGGTCGTTTTCTTTGCTCATACTAGTGGATCTACAAGTCGTAGATTCAGAGGCGACCTTCAGAGGGCAATTAGCACTTTGTGCCTACTTGCAGGGGCAAAGTATGGCTATTTGCCTACCTTTCAGGCGATTACGTTGGTACCACTTGGGGGAGGGGGGCAAAACCCCCTTTTTTCCGCTTCTAGTCGCAAGAAAAGGCCCCCCCGCCGCGCCTACGCGATCATTTTGCCCGCGCTAAGCTTAAGGGGTTAATCTGAATCGAAGATAAGACGGCGCCGAGAAGACGTGGAAATTAAAATATAAATGTGGCCGTATAAAAGTCTTTCGGCGCATCGCGCAGGACAAAGAGTCATAAAGAGGTGCATTTCCGCTTGGAGGCTTCGAGGCGGGCGAGGGTAATTAATTTGTGTAGCAAGCAGACCGCACTAATTATGCCGTAAGCTGTCCGCCAGACAACAACAGTCGGAGCGGCCAAACTTGAGACGAGTGGCCGCGCACGCGGTGCACCGCCACGTCTCAGCTTGTGTCGAAGGAGCGATATAGCCACCTGATTATTGTGATGGCATTCAGGACGGCTGTCATAATTTTTGTACAACATTGTCGGCGGCAATTCGCAAGCAGAATTTAGGGACTTTTATTTTTTTTGCGCGGAGGTGCGGCTGAGCATTGACTAATTAATGGCAGCCAAGGTCGTGATTTATAATTTTCTTTTCCCCTTGTCTAACGCCTAGTTTTTCCTCGAGTTTAACCCCTAGTAATACCCCTAGTTTAACTCCTAGTGTCACCCCTAGTTTCACTCTCCGAAATAAGAGCGAAGTGGCCTCCAGCAAACTGACTGGAATGATGGGGCGCATGCACCGAGCTGCAGCAGGACGTCCACAGCGGCAACAGTAGACTGATTTCGAGAGTCGTTGTCGTCGCTCTGCCTCTCTCGCACTCGTTCTGCGTCCTGTAGAGGTGGGAAAGAGACAGAGCGACGAAAACGACTCTCAGTCTGCAGCAGAGCCGCGCCTTCCCGCGGCCTTGTTCAAATCCGCCCCGAGTCGGGCCTGGCTTCGCACCTGCAGGATGGCTCGCTCCGTCCTCGTCGCTCCCGCTGGCGAAACGGGCGAGGGCGAGAGAGACGGCGCCTCATCTAGGCGCGGCCGTGACCAAGGGATGATGGATCTGGCCCATTTCCTTAATATCATTTACTCTGTGGGTTTATTGGTGTGGCGGGGGCAGTCCGGGTTCACATTACGGTCCAGTGACTAATCGCGGCAGAGATGAACGTGGGGAGCCGGAGGCACTGCAGTGTAGCGGTCACTCGGTCAGGGAACCCGTTGAAAACCCCGTCCGCGGACTTGCAGTCGCCCCGACACCCATGATGAGAAATCGCGAAGGCAACTGACTTGGTGACGTCACTTCTTTGAATGTGAACCGTGCCACGATATTATTGATACATCACATTCCTTTGGGATTACTTGAATCCTTCCTTGAGACAGAGGTGACATTGACGGTTTTGTCACATTTTAACAATCGCTATTCGTCACATTCGTTAAAAGAAAATGTGTGCAATAGTTCTGCTCTGGCTCTGAGTTATTGAACACCTTCTGATGATGTCATTTTGTTTCTGTTCCAGTTTAAAACCACCACCCAAAGATGGCGTTACGAAAAGCAACCCCAGCAAACGGCACCGCGAAAGACTGAACGCCGAGCTGGACACCTTAGCCAACCTCCTACCATTCGAACAAAATATTCTATCAAAATTGGACCGGCTATCAATTCTACGGCTATCCGTCTCCTACCTCCGAACAAAGAGTTATTTTCAAGGTAAGTCTGATTTGTTGGCCCTCGTGGCAATGGTTGAGGGGGTTTGAGAAAGATCTTGGAAAACACTGGTGGCCGAAGGTTCATGAGGGGGTATTCACTGGTGTAATACTGTCGTCTGTTCACCTTACGTGCAGTCTAAACGCCCCTCTTGCGTAGGGTGCACGAGCTCATGATCAAAGTACAGACTAGAAGGGCGCAAGGCCTCCAAGCCTAGTAGTCCCCTTGAATGAAGCGTTCGAAGACAGTTCAGTCCTACCAGTATACCGAAGTTCGCTAGACCGGTGCGTCCCGTCGAACAGATCGAGCAGACGGGCCGGGGCTTCGTGGCACTTGCCGGTTTGTAACGTCAGAACGGATATGTGGAGATTACACGAGTTACACGTGTAATCCGTGGGGCGGGTAGGGCTGGGGCTTCCTGCCCCGCCATCCCTGCCCTATAGGAACCGTTGCAGTGTTACACAACAAGCTGCTTCGGCTACTTTGGCCCGCCAGGCCCTGCGTGTGTGTGCGTGTTTGAGTCTGCGTGTGTGTGAGTGTGCGTGAGTCGGTGGGAGTGCATGTGTACACAGTCGTGTGCGCAGTTAGCGGTATCTGAGTATCTGCTCGTGCGAGTCTCTCTCTCTCTCTCTCTCTCTCTGTGCGTGTGTGTGTGTTCAGTGTGTGTTTAGAGTCCCAAATTTTGGCTGGACCGCCAAAGACAAACAGGAAGACATTTTGACTTGTCCACAAAACGGCTGTACAGTATGAAGCCTCACCGTTTGAATGTTGAGAGGGTTTTCTTTATATGGCGTACTTTCCGAGTGTTGAGGCAGGCCAATGAAAGCGTTTCGCCCTGCACCTGTTCGCTCGATCGATGGTGCTGTGCTGGGCGTTGCCTGGCAAGCCGACAAGGCTGCGTTGAAACGGGCCAGCCAGGGTTGAGGCCGAGCTGAGGGCCAGAGCTATGCGGTTCAACAAAGCTAAGGGCTTGAGCTGAGGGCCAGAGCTGAGGGCCTGAGCTATGCAGTTCAAAGCTAAGGGGCTTGAGCTGAGGGCTAGAGCTATGCGGTTCAAAGCTAAGCGGCTTAAGCAAGATGCCAGAGCTATGCGGTCAAGCTAAGGTAAGGGCAGAGCTATGCGGTTCAAAGCTAAGGCTGAGCTGAGGGCCAAGCTGTTCAAAGCTAGCCATGATGAGGGCAGGGTGAAACCATGGCTGAAAACAGGCTGAATCCAGGACTGGGCCAGGCTAAGCCTAGGCGTGGTACGAAGCATATGCGATGGTGTCCGAATACGTCCTGCGCTGCCAACCTGCACACATGTCCAGAACGAGGACGGTAGCGGTGGGGAGGGGCGGGGTGACTGTACTGTAGATACGGCTCACCTTCCTGAGCTCATGCATTCAAAGCTAAGGGGCTTGAGCTGAGGGCTAGAGCTATGCGGTGCAAAGCTAAGGGCTTAAGTAAGAGCCAGAGCTATGCGGTTCAATGCTAAGGGTAAGGGCCAGAGCTATGCGGTTCAAAGCTAAGCACATGAGCTGAGGGCCAGGGATGAAACCATGGCTGAAACCAGGGCTGAATCCAGGACTGAGGCCAGGGCTAAGGCCAGGACTGAGGCCAGGGCGTGGTACGAAGCAATAATGCGATGGTGTCCGATACGTCCTGCGCGCTGCCTAACCTGCACACATGTCCAGAACGAGGACGGTAGCGGTGGGGAGGGGCGGGGTGATTTGTACTGGTTAGATAGGGCCCTCACCTTTGAAGGGACCGCTCATTAAGGCATTTTCCCGGGTGTTCGGCCTCCCCCCCCCTTTTCCTCGCGCTGGGTTTTGCTTGCCTGGCAAGTCGAAAACCTTGAAACCCTAGAACAGGGTTTTTGTGGCCGACTCCGGTATGCAACAAAGCGGGCTTGGCTGGTCGCAGATAGTGACGGTCTTCAAATGGGCTGCTCTAGAGCGACGTAAGTGTTTTTTTTTTAAACATTTAGAAGAGCAACTATGGGGTTAAGAACGGGGGGCCATTTTTTTCTCCAATTTAAACGCACATATAGGCCAAAAGGGTCAAAAAAACCCAAACTTACCGTCGGTTTTAAAAGCAGCCCATTTGAAGCCCCGTCCTAACCTGCACCAGCCGAAGCGGGGGTGTTTATTACGGAAAAGGACCCCCCCCAAAGACTTGCCTTCTCGGTTTTTCTTGGGGGGCCCCGAAGTCGGCCCGAAAGTCTTTCTCCAAATCGTCTCCAAACACATCGCCGCCTCTACGTTTTTCCGTGTAATTTTCCAATTTCCCCCGCTTTGTCGTACATTCCTTCAATTCGCCACACGGTAATTGAAATTTTTCCGCGCTCCGTGCCGTCCCTCGTCCCTCGATCCCCATGGGCGATTGCGATCTCTGCCAGTCGGAATGAGAAAGCTGCGAGGCTCGCTCCGCGCTCCGTCAGCGCTCCGTCCGAACCATATGGTCTGCGGCATCGGTCAAGCGCGGCGGCGGCCTGGGCCTGGGCCTCGGCCTGGGTCTCTCGGCTCGGGATGGACACGAGGCCCGACGGCCGAATGAATGACATTGGGTTTCTTTGCTTGATTCCCGCGCCGCCAACACCAGCCGTTCGCCCAAAAACCGAGCTTTTGCCTCACTTCCTCTGACCCAGAAAAAAAAAACTTAAATGAAGGCTCTGTAGAATTGCTCGTATGACGAAGAATTTCGCCTCATAAAACGAAGCATTTCCTCTCCAATTTTATCATTTTACAATGCCTTCGTTTACGTCGTACGTTTCATAGACTTTTTTGTGCAATTTTTCCACCTTTTCCCCCAAGCTATCGTTTCAACTTTTTCTTTACATTCAGCAGCCACCTGGGCTCCCCGTTTATTTATTTTCGTACTCGCCGCGCTGTAACTGAGGCATATAAATGTCGCATTGCTCCCCCACCCCACTGTAAGGCAGTATCGCTCCCCCATCTCAGGCAACCCCTCACATCCTGCTCGCCACCCCCGCCACAGTCGCCCCTCCGCTTCCCCTTCCTGAGAATCCATCATGCAGAGCCTTGAAATATCGTCACCTCGCTAGTCAAAGCGGCCAGTTTTGGCGCGTAAGTTTAAATGAGGCCCGCGCGGTGCAATATGGCGTCGTTGTTGTTTCAGGTTATTTACAGTGTTTCGTCATGGCTCGTTTTTTTTTTTTTTTGGGACTGCAGTCTTGAGGGCGAAGCATGTACTACACGGTAAAAAAAGGCGCCTGGTTTACCCAGGAACTCCATGGAAACCACCTATGTCTCTACCATACGCCTCCTGGGAAAACGGAATAGTTTTTACCGTGTAGGTTCGCCCTTATTTGACGGAAAGGGGTGGGGTGGGCAGCTGCCAGCCCGGCATCGGGCTATCGACAGCATCACAGCAGGCTTCCGAGAGTCGGTTTCGTCGCTCTGTCTCTCTCGCACTCCTAGGTCGTCCCATGTAGGTGCGAGAGAGACAGAGCGACGAAATGAACTCGCGGAATCAGCCTGCAGCTTGGGCCGATGACGCTCCGGGTGAGGGGCGCGGCGCTCGTCCGCGTTACGTGCAAACGTGCACGACACCGCGCTGCCTTGAATCGGATAGAACACCTCTGGGGCGGCTGGTGGTTGCAGAGGGACGTCGCAACTTGTAATTGGAAAAGTTATGGCGCCTACGTCCTGTATCCTGCACCTCGTGCGGCACTTCGTTGTGCCGCGCCTCGTTGTGCCGCACCTCGTTGTGCCGCACCTCGTTGTGCCGCACCTCGTTGTGGCGCACTTCGTTGTGCCGCACTTCGTTGTGCCGCACCTCGTTGTGCCGCACTTCGTTGTGCCGCACCTCGTTGTGCCGCACTTCGTTGTGCCGCACCTCGTTGTGCCGCACCTCGTTGTGCTGTACCCCGTTGTCGTTGTGCACCCCCACCCTCTGCGTCGCCTGCGACGTTCTGGGACGTCCGGCGCGGGTGGTATGGCCGCTGGTCGCGTTGTCATGGCAACAGCGTAAACAAGGCGTCGTTTTTATTTCGTTGCAAAAAGTAATTAATGCAAGAGAGTGGATTTGTCGTCTGCTACGAACGACCGACTGTTACGTTTGATGCCTTCGATTGTTATCGCGCGGTGCGAGTGGTAACGTTCCCTCTTTGTTTCTGCCAACGAAAGTCACAGAGAAGCAGGTGGTGAGGCCAACTGATGGGTTGACGCCTTCCGGTCAAGTTCTGCGGAAGACCGCGACAGGGGTGAGGCTGGCCCTCGGGCTGGCCTTGAAACGGGAGCAGGACATGCGCCCCCTTTCTTCGTGCCTCCACCACAAAAACGCGGCGTGCAACCGAGTCCGCCCAAAGTGGCACTGCAAAAGTCAATTCAAGAAAAAATTAAAAACTGACATTTTGAGGCTTCGATATATTTAATTTTTAGCCTAAGGGTCTGCATGAGTTCCCTGTAAAAGTAGTTAATGTGAATCCGACTAAAATTTGGTTGATTTCTTCGGTAATTTCTGTTAATTTGTTCACGAAAGACTTAGTCAAAAGAATAAGTTTTAGTCGTATTGACTTAAATATTTGACAGTACAGTGTTGAAATCAATAGTTCGTCATTTTCTGGACATCTAGACATGTTATTCCACGTTCGGATCTTTTGTTTTCTTGACCTTTACCCCTCGCACTTGCGAACAGTCTCTCCATACCCGTGCACCCTCCGATCGAAACCTGAATGGTCTTTCTATCCTCGAGGGATTGTCTTGTACTCCCTAAACCTGGAAGGCCGCCGCCCGAGGGACCTTGGTCCTTCGAACTTGATGCCCTTGGCCCTCGGCCCTGGCCACGCCTTGGAAGTGATCCCTTTGCATGTTTCGGCTCGGTTTTCGCCCTAAAGCCCTGTCCGCTCCATCTCTGTCGCGCTCGGCCGGTCGGTTTCGGCCGCCGCTCCTTCGCCCGAACCGAACGCCTCCCGACCGCCGCCGCGGACGCAGCTTCGGCGGTCCATGACGGCTCGGATTTCGGCACCAGCTTCCGAAAAAAATGCGATCATGTCGCGAACGG